CCCTGCGAACTCGGGCCGAGTTGGGGTTCTGCGTGGAGAACTTGGGGACCCTGGGGGATGACGAGAAAGAACTGGATGCACTTCGGCGTGACCCCTAGGCTCCTTTCCAGGTCACTGCTTGTTCACGTACATCTGCATCAGATGTTTACAGAGTGCCTGGGCGAGCGCCGAGGTTGCCGTGGGCAGCGTGGACACGGTCCTGACCGGTTACATAAGTCGTGAGAAAAACACTGGGAGCTGCGACCTTTTTTTACAGAACGGAGCTATCGCAGTTCGCTGCTGTGCTGCTGCCAATTGCAGACGCGAAGTTTCTTTATTACGTTCTACCCTGCCGTGCTGCTTACGAGCAAGGTAGCAGCCTAAATTTTAGCGAGCTAGACTTTCGAAAAGTTATTTGCTACATCTAGTAGTTTACCTTAAATATTTGCATTTTGTTTTCTGCACTGGAGCAAGGGTGAAAAGGGAAAAGTCAAGTTTTAGCTCGACTCGGCACTATCGTGTGCCCATAGATTACGTTAATCAGTTTGTTTACTGGCAGATTCTTTGTGCCATGACATTTGACATTTGCCCAACTGTTGCTTTATTTTACGAACAACCCAGCCTGGCAGTGCCTGGAAATGCAGTGATTTCATATAATGCACGGCGGGGAGGCTGCAGCCAGGCAGTTTATTCTTTGTTTTTGTTTTTTCCTACAACGAATTTTTCTTACCTAAGTCTTATATTTATTATTGTGTCTTTGCTTAATTCAGAGAATGCTGATCAATTATGCTTTGTCCTCAAATGAAAAGAGAAAAGTGAATTAAAAATTTGCTGCCTCATCTTCAGTGTAAGGGCTATTAGATATGAGATAGACATTCTAATGTCAAGCTCTGTTGAGGAATATATTGGAAAAGATGAGAATTCTTTAGCTTGAGGATTCAATTAGTGCATTTTAAGGACAAGGTTTTTGGCATCCAGTGATTGTACTTAAGAAATAACTTCTCTCAGGAGGGGGCTTTTTTGCCCCTCACCAAGGGAGATTATAGTAAATGTGCAGGGAAAATTCACAGTTAATGTTAAATGATTTTCGTTTTTAATGAAGAGTTAACATTAAGGGGGATTACAGTATTGTGCTTCATGCGTTCTTTAAATCCTGAAAGGCTGGGTCCAAGTTCAGGGGATCATCTTTTGTTCCTTAATCTTAATCTGAAAATGTAAGTGGTTTGCTCAAGATAGACATGCTGGCACTAAAAGTAACTGCCCTTTTAGTTGCTACAATCAATACTGTTCTCAAAATGCCACTTTATTTAGATGAATTACTTAGCCCTCAAAACCAAGACTGCTTAAGGTGATAGAAAGATAAATTGATGTGGTTTTAGTATTTAAACTCTAGAGATAACATACATATATGTATTGTATATGTGTGGTAAACTCATAAAATCTGTATTAATATTGTACATGTATGGAAGCCAATACATTATTATTGTGCCATATTTGGAGACTCACAGAGCTCTACTGTTAGAAACCTTGGGAGCTAGTTAGTTACCTCATGAAACGTCCTGGGCTGAAGTTTTCATGTATTTACTTTATTCTGGATGAGGACAGACTTTTTCCTCACTCCTACCATTGGTGTTAGAATAATGCAAAGCCAACTTGAACTCTTAATCCCAACTGGCTGACGTTACTGTTACAGACAGAGGAGAGTGAGGAAGAAGGGTAGGGGACATTAAACAGTTAAGATGTGTTATGTACATGTACCAACTCCCCACAATGAATGTAGTCATGCACTGCAAACATATACCAATAAAAATTAACAATAACAGCAATATGGACAATAACATAAAACCGCTATTACAGATAGCAGAGGCAATTAAATATTTGAATATAAAAGAAAGTTTTGCTCTTCTGGGTTTCAGTTAATTATTTATAGGCAGAATAATTGAAATGGAGATATTAAAATTATTGAGTAATCATGATACCATTGTAAGAATATGAAAGATTTTCACTGGTGGCCTGTATTATATGTACAAAAAGACCTGAATAGGTAAAACATTTCTAGAATTTCAAGGGAAAATGAAAAGATTATTCTTATGTATATTGCATATTTTAAGAGATTTATACAGCTAAGTATATAGTGAATTTTGTATGATAAAGAACTAATTCATGAAATTCCCTTTATAATTTGTTAAAGCGAATTTAAAGAGTTTGTAACAGCAGGTTGTAAGATTAATAAAAAGTAATTTTATACTTTTACAATTAAAAATAAAGATTAATATGGCAAAATAAAAATCTTAAATACGTTTAAGAGAAGTTCATGTTTTTCTGCTTAAATGATTTTATGATTAAATGATTGGGAGACAGTGTTTCATTAGTGGATCCACTTTAAATTTCTTCAGCATTTATTAGCGTCCTCTTTGAGTTTTCTATTTTTAAATTTTTCTTGATGCACTACATTTACAATAAACTTTTTCTAATTTTATTGCAGATGTTGGATGAAAATAACCATCTTATTCAGTGTATAATGGACTATCAGAATAAAGGAAAGACTTCAGAGTGTTCTCAGTAAGATTAAAAAGATACTTTTTTGTTTTCTTTGGTAGTTTTTACTTTACATTTTCATAAGAGTTCCATTGAATTACGTTTAAACTGTATCGCTCAGTGTCTTATTTTAATGTGCTCATAGAGTTGTGCTGTGGTGACTTCAGTTATGGGACGTTTCCTTTGTGCCGTGAAGAAACACCCACTTGCGCTCATTCCCCATCTTCTGCACCGATCTCTGACCCCTTGATTGGAGACGTTTCCTATAAATGGATTCAGACAGTGTGTGGTCTGTTAGAGTGCATACTTATTGATGAGGGTATCATTACTTCATTCCTTTTTATTGCCGAATCTTCATGTACATTATTTATTCATCAGGAATGCATATTTGGGATGTCTTTGCTTCTCTTAGTTCATAATGTAGGTTTGAACATTTGTGTACAACTTTGTGTGTGTGTATTCTTGATTTTTTTCAAGAAAAAAATTTTTTTCCTGAGAGACTGGGTAGATGGGTATCAGGTTTTTTTCTTAAACTTATTACCCTGTATTATAAAATAATGACTTCAAGTTTGTACATAGTCTGATCTGTAGAAAAGTTGGATCTTAACCTATTAGTATGTTCAGTTGCATATATCTATACCTATTGATCTATCTAGAGAGGAAAGCCAAACTGTCATCTAATAGAGACTTGTTTCTCATTTATAAGGACTAAGCTTGCTTATTTTGAAATGAGGTGTCTGAAGTCAGTGGTACACCCTTATGGAGGCTCATGTGGTAGAATAAATTGAATATTGTACCACATATCTCTAGAGCACTACAGTCTAGTAGATACCTAAACATCAGCTACATATGATGTGTGATCAAAAAAGTGATGTTTAAATTTTAAAAATTTGTTAAGGTAAAAGTCATATTGCCATCAATCTCTTGCAACATATAGTACTACCTTTTGCTTTAAATATACTTACTCTGTCATTCTTGCCACTTCCGGAAGCAGTTCTGGAAGTCCTCTTTCATGATTGTCTTCAGTTGTACTGTCATGGCTGCCTTGATGTCCTGAATCTATTCAAAACATTTACCTTTTGCCACCATTTGATTTTGTGGAAGAGCCAGAAGTCACTTGGTGCCATAGCTGGTGAATAGGTAGATGAGGACTTACTGTAATATTTTTAAAGTTTGTCTTTCTATTAGGTGGCGGTTGGCAGCAGCCTTCACTGTATTTTTGATTACAATTTACGAAGACATGAAAAAGGACTTCAGAACTGCTTAGGAGAGCGTCAAGAACAATGGGATAAGTGTGCTTGAAGCAAGCGGGGAGTATTTTGAGAATTAATGGCAGTGTCTTACTGTAACAAATTTTTAAAAATTTAAACATTTATTGTATATTTTGATCACCCCTTATATGTAATTTTAAATTTTCCAGTAGATGTAGTAAACAGGTAATAGAGACAGGTGAAATTAAAGATGATTATTTTTAAACTCATTTCTAAAATACTGTCATTTCAGCTGTGTGTGGTGCTGCATGCTTGTAACCCAGCACTCGGGAGGCTGAGGTAGGAGGGTGGCCACAAGTTCGAGAACAGCCTGGGCTACATAGTGAGCTCAAGGTCAGCTTGAACTACATAGTGAGACCCTGTAAGAGAAAACAACCAAAACCCCTGTCATTTCTATATATTATTAATACAAAAGTATTAATTAGCTCCTTTACATTCCATTGTTTCGTACTAAGTCTCTGAAATCCATTGTGTATATTACTGTAGTAACTCATCACATTTTGTTTTTGTTTTTGTTTTTTTTTCGGTATCAAGGATCAAACTCAGGTCCTTGTGCATGTGAGGCAGGTGGCAGAACCACTGAGCTAAGTCCCCAGCCCACCCATCACATTTTGGATCAGCCACATTTTGTTGTCTTATGGCTGTTGTATTGGGTATCAGAGCTTTAGAATATTTTATTTAGACCGACCATTGTTTTGACACACGTCTTGTCTTTCCTGGAGAGATCTTACTGGCCTATTCCCAGGCAGATGTTCCCAGCAAACCTTGGTTTCCTTAGTTTTTCTTCTGTTCTAGTCTCTTGTTATCATTTGATTCACTCTTTGCCTAATCTCTTCATTACTTTTTTCTCCTTTAAAACTATTTTTTTTTCAGCTTTAATTGAGTTTATTGGTACATTTTAGGGATACAGTAGTTACATTCATTGTTGGGATCTTGTACCTCTACATGACAAGTCTTGATTCTCATTTTTTCCCCTTACCCCTACCCTCCCTTCACCCTTCCTCCCCTTTAAAACTATTTTTAAAACAGAAGTCATACTAGTTATTTAAAAAAAGTGAAAAATACTGAAGTATAAAAATTAACGTATAATTCCCAATGCCTTTCTTCCCCTCCATAGGGTTAACTACTTTGAATGCTTTAGTGTGTATTCTTTTAAAGTTTTTTTGTGTATTTACACATATGCCTTCATGTATGTTTTTCTAATGTTTATGTAGGTTACAATTTTGTTTTTTTGTTTGTTTTCTGGTGGTGGTAGCAATCAGACACTCAGCCTAGGCAAGTGCTATACCACCAGGCTGCATCCTCAGACTAGAGTTAGTTTTGAGTTGGAATTACAGTTCAAAGACCATGCTAAATTGCCACAGTACCTGAGGTATTGGTTTGCTTTCTCTCAAGTAGGTTTTTCGAGGCTGGATGGATTTTAAGCTACACCTGCCAGCAGTGGATATTAGCTATCTTTAAAAAATTTCTGTATATCTGATTTAATTAAAAGTGATATCTTAAGGAAAATACATTATTTTGAAATAATTTCACAGTTATGAAAAAGTTTCAAAGATAGGTCAAGAAATTCTTGTGTACCCTTCACTGAAATTTCTCAAATAACATTGGCCTGCTTGCTTTTTCATTTCTTCCTCATACTGTTTTTCTGAAGCGTTTGAGAGTAATTGCAGATAGGATTCTTTTAATAGCGTTTTCTAACAGCATTATGTTCTTAAGTTGCCAAAATATAATTGTTAAAAATGAAATACTATAAGCCAGTATTTTGAGCCTTTTTGAATTTTATCATTTGTCCCATCAGTGTATTTTTTCTAGTGTGGGGTCCAGTGCAGGGCCAGATGTTGCATTTAGTTGTAAGGGCGAGTTGGTGTACTCTTGAACTGTCCTTTCATCTTTCATGATGACTTTATAGTAAAAGTACAGACCGGTTATTTTGTGGGACATCCCTCTTTTAAGATTTGTCACATAACATGCTTTTGGCAGTAGAACCACAGCTGGGATACTGTGTCCTTCTCAGTATATCTTTAGAAGCTATATAGTAGTAATTTGTTCTGCTACTGGTGATAAGTTTGATCACTTAGTTAAGATGGTGCCATTTTCTCTCTAACACAGTTACTATTTTTTCCTTTGTAATTCATACATATCTTGCTGGGGAGATAACTTGAGATATACACATGATGTTTATCATTATATTTCAACACATTTATTGTAGCATCCACCAGTGATTATTGCCTGAGGTAGGTAATAGTGTAGTAGCTGTGAAATAGTAACTAGTTATCATACATATTTATTTGTAATCCTACTGTAAGAAGGTATCTCCTAACCCTTCCCCCAATTCACTAGTTTGTTATTTCTAGCTGAATGGACTTCTATATTCTTAATAAATTTTCTAGGTTATAATTTATTACCCTAACGCCACTTTTTTCCCTTCTAATTGTTCCAGGTTTGGCCATTGGTAAACTTCCCAGCTGTCTTCTTGACATGTCTCCATTATTTTTTGAGCATTTTCTTGCACCATGAAATGTTTCAGTCTTACCCTATACTTTTTTCTGTGCAAGTCTGGAATCACCCATTTCTCCAAACCCTAGTTCTTTTTTAAAAAATTTTCTTGAATTATGAACCTGGGTCACGTTTATTAGTTGTAAAGGAAGTTCCTCGTATTCCTGCTCTTTGGAGATGTGCCTGCCCTTGCAGGCCTGGAAATATGGCTTCAGTGCTTCAGTTTATACCTGATTGTGTATAATGACTTGTTTCCCAACCTTGAGAGAAGTGACTCATTTTCTTAAGCAGTTCTGGAAGTTCTCCTTCATGAGTTTCTTTATTAGGTCTAATCAAGATGTTGTTGAATATTGCTGCTGAGTGCAATTCAGTGAAAAATTCACAAAAAATTGGAGTGTGTCCTCATCCATCTTCTTTCGTATGTCTTCTGGCTATTCCCTTGCTGCGATGCAAACACTGACTTCTGTCCAACCCCTGGCCACACTTGGTGGTACAAAGTGAGGGGTCCTCCTGAGTCCGAGGTGCTGCTCTCTCGGGCTGCAGGACCCTGCACACGTGAGCGTTTGCTGACTGACTCCCTGCCAGGGCCTGAGCACAGGTGTCAGCGCTGCATGGGAGATGCAGCGTGGACTCGCAGGGCAAGTGGCCTGCGCTCATCCTCCTGGCTTCTGCCCCTAGTTCTTTTTTTGTGTAAGATGGTATTTAGAAACTTAAGAAGCGGTGTTTATCTTACTTTCCAGTTGCTTGTCATTTTGCATTTTGTATGACTATTTCCATTTTTATATTCTTTTAGTGGATTATGTCTGTTTATGTTTGAAAAATTCTTTAAAAAAATAACCTAGCTGATCAGCTTCTTCAGTTTATAGATAATCATCAGTGATGAGTAGATCCCAGTCTGAAGTGAGCAGTGGATTGATTAAAATTGGGGGTCAGTGCTTAGAATTTCTGTTTTTACCTAAAGCTTTTAAGAACCCCAGATAGAGCCAAGGGATTTGAAGGCCCGGGACATGTTCAATTTTTTATTGGACGCAGCAGTATGTGTCATGGGTAGATGTTCAGAATTAGAACCAGCTTTTCCAACTCGAATCAGCAAAAGTTTATACTGCTTTACTCTTTATACTCTTTTTCATGTATTGCATGATAATTTCTCTCATTCTCTGCATATTGGAATAGACCTCATATTTTTTCACGTGTTTTTGATGAAAGGTTTAAATTGATTTAGGGTAAATCTTAAATTCTGTTCTTTCTGATGAATTTTACTACTTCTTCATCTTATGTTTTTAAGGGATGGAGTCTATTTTGTCTAGGCTGGCCCTGATTTCTTGGGCTCAAGCAGTTCTCCTGCCTCAGCCTCCTGAGTAGCTGAGACAACAGCATCCTGCTGTTCTTAGCTCTGATGGGTTTAATTTTCATTCTTACCTTTAGATCTCTTTTTCAAATTGTCAAAATGGTTTGTAAGACAAGAGAACAAAATTTTCCTCCTTGTAGCCTTAATAAATGTTCTTTTTTTATTTTGACAGTAAGAGAGGCAAAAGGAAAATAAATAGAAGCTTTAGTAAATGACAGTCATCTGGGAATTGATAGTCCATTTCTAGATACTTCTTTCAAATATGATGACTGCCTGAAACAGTTTTTAAAAAATTATTTTATTAAAACAGTATATGCATTGTAAGAAGTTAGAAGACATAAGTATGTTAAAATAAATAAGCAAATGAGCGCCACATTCCAACCACTCAGAGCCTCTCACTGGTAATGCTTTTGTGCCTATTGCTCAGTCTAATAATTGCAGACTTACACAAATATGCCATGTATTATAGTCATGTAAGTCTGGGGTCTGAAAGTAATTCTTTTTTTTTTTTTAAATAATAGCAAAAATATGCAACGCTTCACGGATTTGTGTGTCATCCTTGCTCAAGGGCTGTGCTAATCTTCTCTGTATGGTTCAATTTTAGTATATGTGCTGCCAAAGTGAGCACCTGAATGTAGTTCTGATGTGAAAACTTAGTAGTTCTTGTTGTTGGAAGGAAATTAATTTTAAATTTCTACTTGGGAAGATAACTTTTATTCTGTGATTCCTGCTGTCTAGTAAATGTATTTTTCACACCTTAAGGTAAAAGTACTTCTTAAAAAATGGAATTGGACTTCAGATTTTTAAGTTAAATCAATTATTGTTAATGGTTATTTTACTTTCTGCAAGGTAATTGATGTAGTGGCTCTTAGTGAGCTCCCATTTAATAGATTAATAATCACACATATGTGAAACTATTTGTCAGTATTAGGACAGTACCATCAGCAAACATAAAATGTTGACTGTAATACAGCTGGTAGCTTGCAAGATAGTTACCATCATGAGTATGTTTTATGTCTGCTTTTGGCTTACACATTTGATTTTCTTTTATTAACAGTACTTTAGAGATAAGTGTACACGTTAAGAAAGTACAGTCATGTGTTGCTTATTGATCGGGACACATCCTGAGAAATGCATCATTAGACAATTTCATCATTGTGCAAATATCAGCATTTACAGGACATAAACTAAGATGGCTGTGATGTCATTTAGTGATATAATTTGTGGCCCTTCCATTGTATAAGTAGTGTTACATGCAGTCCATTTTTGACTAAATGTTGACTGAATGACTGTAAACTATTCAGGTGACCAATGTAATTTACTAATAAACACTGTTTATTGTAGTGGTAGGTGCTTGTGTTCCCACACACTGAGGTAGGAGGTTTGAAAGTTTGAGGCTAACCTAGGCAGTTTAGTGAGACTCCTTCTGAAAGCAAAATTTGAAAGAAAAGACTGAGTATGTAAAGTCCCTGGTTTTCAATCCCTAGCGCCCCTCACCCACCCCCCCAAAAAGAAAAAAATTAAGTTTCTCAGGAAAATATTTATTTAATATTTTTATCATGTCAGTAGTCTTAGCTGGATCCAGGTGCTTCTAGAAGTTTTTCTAATTGAATTTTAGGTGACTTACATATAAACTTAGAAAAGAATTTGAGTATATATTTTTTTCTTAGTGCTCATCTTCAAGTCTAGCATTATCTTTGAATAAATATTTGATGAATGCTTTAAATTACAGTGTAATTTCACTGAAAAAACCTATTGCGGTTGGAACAGCTCAATAAAAATGTTTGTTTTTTTCCTACCTTTTTCAGTTAGACAAAAATGACATGGCGGTTTTGGGACAGATTAGAAAGATTCTGTGGGTTAGAGGGTGATAGTGTATCGATGTTAATGTCCTCATGATGGTTGTACGGTTACATAAGGGAATGTCCTTGTTTTTGGGAAATTAATACTGAAGGTATTAGAGAAAAGGGGTGTTAATGTCTGTAACTGACGCTCAGAATGTGTGTGCATACATGTGTGTTTACTGACAGAATGATAAAGCAAATGTGAATTATTAACAGTTAGGAAATCTGAAAGAAGGATTTGGGACTTTAAAAAATACTTTCAAAATTAAATGTTAAGAATTGTCATATTTGAGAGGGGATTTGGCAACTGTCAAAAATTAAACTATTCTATAAAATTGTATTTTTAGATGTTTAAAACTGCAAGGCACTTAAGATACCTACTCTAAGTCTATCAGACAGATGAAGATTTAAGTGTGGCAGATGATTTAATAGTGTTTTAACATTGGTTTATTAAGTGCTAATCAGCATAATAATAATTTTTTTTTTTTTGAGACAAGATCTTGCTGTGTAACTCAGGCTGGCCTTAAACTAACTGGGTAGCCCAGGATGGCCTGGAACCTGCAGCAATCCTAACTAAAAAAAAAAATTTTTTTTTAATAACTAAAACATTTTTTAAGAGTTATGAATAGACTGTCTTTTATGAAGTGGTCAGTGTTCCTTAGAAAATCTTACATTGAATCGCTTCTCGGCCTTTTGGCTAAGATCAAGTGTAGAAAATCTTACATTGAGCATATAATATACTAATACTCAGAATAAAAAGAATTAAAGGAATAGACTTTGAAATGAGTTATGTGTTGTAATTGAAAGTCATTGATGCTGGGTGTGGTGGTGCATGCTTGTAATCCCAGCACTTGGGAGGCTGAGGCAGGAGAATCACAAGTTCAAAGCTAGTCTGGGTTACATACTGAGTTTGCAGCCAGCCTGAGCAATGTAACGAGACCCTGTCTCAAAAAAAGAAAAGAAAAGTCATTGGTTGCTTTTCATGAAATGAAAAGATAGGGAATCCATTGTCATCATCATCTTTTTTTCCCTTTTTGTGGTGCTGGGGATCAAACCTAGAGGACTTGCACATGCTAGGTGAGCCCTCTACCACTGAACTGTATCCCCAGTCCTTGGAGTCCTAAATGTTAAATTTCATTTAAGACTACCACAGAATAATGAAGTACTTCCAGCTAGAGGTTAGAGATGATTGTAACTTTAGAAACCTAATTGTATTTTGACCCTTGTTTATCTAAAGATCATGATTAAAACTGTATCATGTCTAGGTGCATGGAAGAAAAGCATTAAAAGAATAGACATTTTAGTGAAGAAACTTACTGAGAAGTAAGTTATTTTTCCTAATAAAAAGTTGTGAAATTAGTAGTTTGTAACAGGAACAAAGAGGTACCAAAGAATTTACTATGATCCCCTTTATGGTATTTGTTTTAGAAAATTATTTCATTTCATTTATTTATTTATTTATTTACTTACTTACTTACTTTTGGTGCTGGGGATTGAACTCTGACCTTGTGCCTGCAAGGCGGTGGAACCACTTAGCTAAATCCCCGGCCCAAGTTATTTCATTTTAGAAAATTATTTCATTTTCTCTTCCCCAGGTGATGCCCTTCCTTAATTTTTTTCCATATTGTAAAATCATTAGAATTCAACCTACCTTATGTGTTCTAATGCATGAGAATTGAATATATAGAAAACTCAAGGTTGCATGAAGGAAAGTGCATTGTTACTGTGCAGTTAAATTTTGGCTCTGGCTTGCTTTAGCTTGAACAGCATTCTTGTCTACCCCAGTTAGTTATAGATGCCATTTCTGCACAGAAACAAGAGTGGTGGTGGCACAATGTCTAGAATGTTTTTTAAAAAGTTCACACCCCATGTGCCTTTTCAGAAGCAACTAAACTTCTATAAAGCATCTTTGGTTCTTCCCAGGTGTGTGTTGGAGGGAGCATTGTAGGTGATGCTATAAGTACTTCATATTTTTGCTTTTAATGATAAGCACCAGTTCTTTGCCATTTAACTTAGGTTGAAAATTTGTATTTATTGGCAACTGAAGGACCATTTTCTTTTTCTTTTACTTTTGGTACTGGGGATTGAACTTGGGACCTTGTGCTTGCGAGGCAGGCAGGGGAACCACTAAGCTAAATCCCTGGCCCCAAGGACCATTTTCATTTGGGAAAATTTCATTTATGTCTGTGGTAAACTTTACTTTAAAGAAAAGTTGCACTAATATTTTACCAACAGATGAAAAAAAAAAAGACGAGGATCATTTAAAAATTACTGTACTTAAAATAAAGAGAAAGACATGTAAAAAAATTTTGGTTATCAATCAAAATAATTTATTTGAGTAACAGTCTTTTGACTTATTTTTATTATTTTAATTTGTAGTTAGTTTTGTAGTAAATGAAATTTTAAGGCAGCCTAACAGTTTTATGCAGGTTTTAAGTTTGTGTTTATGAGGCTTGCTGTATGCATGCACTAAGGCCAAACACTAGTAATTGGGTCACTACTACCAGTAATTTTAATCTGGTTTCATCTGAATTAATTTATAATTAGGGAGTGTAGCTCAACTAATTCATACACAAGATGGCTATATGCATGTTTAACCACATAACTCCAATATTGAGAATTTATTTCATTTTTTAAAGTTAACTCGGTTTTATTAGTGTTCTAGTGTTTCTTTCATCTCTGCATTTCAGCATATCATTTTTTTCTGTGACTGGAAATTGCATACTCACTGTCTTGTGAACTAGATAAGTAGTAGAACCACTTATCTTGATAGATAAGAAGTGTAACCACAGCAGGCAAATTTAGTCATATCTACGGGACTGAAGAAGAGTGAATTACAGGAATGAAAATGTGTGATTCTCACCTCCTTTCTGATACTTTAACAGAAGATCTTTTTTTTTTGGTGGGGGATACAGGGGATCAACTCAAGACCTTGTGCTTACCAGGCAGGCGTGTTGCTGCTGAGCTTCATCCCCAACCAGAAGATCTTGGTTGTATTTAGATTGGAGGCCTTTGGTATAACGAAAATGACAAAAGGAAGGGGATAGCATATTTCACTGAATTCCTTTATTTTGGTTCTCTTTTTCAAAATCTGCTGTACTATGTATGAAGCTAGTCATACACCATTTAATCTGTTTACTAGCTATGCAGTTTTGTACAAACCATAGTTTCCTCATCAGTAAAATGAAGAAAAATTAGAGCTTCTACTTAACTGTTGTTTTGAGTATTCACTGATGTATATGTATTATAAAACAATTGTAACAAAATGTGGAACTTGGTAAGATCTTGTTCATTATTACCCAGAGAGCATTATTTATTATTTAGAGTTATTTTGCCGAGAAAATAGAAAAAGTTGAAGTTCTATTGATGTTCAGGTAATACATCTTTACTAAATTCTGGAAATAATTAGAATGCTGTTTATATTTAAGCAGATAGGAATAAAATTATTTTTTAATATTGATATTTATTTTGTTTTAACAGGTATCAGCAGATGTTGCATACAAACCTGGTGTACCTTGCTACAATAGCAGACTCTAATCAAAATATGCAGTCTCTCTTACCGGCTGTGAGTACCTTAAAAGTAGTGTGAAATAGATAGTTTTTATAGTTATATATGGTGTGACACCTTTTTTTTTTGTAGTGAAATTTGAACTTTGTTTAGTAAATCCTGAATTAACTTTGAGAATGTGAAAGTAGTCTGTTACCTAAAAGCTTTATCGTCTGGCTCTCGTTTAATTTGAATTCATTTACCTACAGTCACTCTCCTCCCTGAGGAAATTGTAGCCATTCTTCCATCCACCAATTTATCTACCTTTCTGCCTATTTTACCTTTTAATTGCACAAATCATTAATTAGTAAATCTGGAATATTTCACAGCAAACACTAGACATCATTTTTACTGGCATATATTTCAATATACCTCCATTGTAGCAGGTAGGGCTGTTATCCCACCCAACAAAATTAACCATATCATCTAATATGCAGTCTGTTTTCAGTTATCATTTATTTCAGTAAACCTAAATGTTTGAATGTTTGCTTGTCTCAGAATCCAAACAAGGTATCGAATAAATACAGAATTGGTTGATGCATGTATTAAATCTGTTTCAGTTTATCTATTTAATTTTCTTTTTTGTTGGAGAAGTTGGGTCATATGTTGTATAAATTTCTCACATTCTGGATTTTGCTGATTGTGTCCTCATGGTCTTTTGAACATGTTCATGGGTCTTTTCACATGTCTTCTATTTCTTATTTCATGTAAACTGATAATTAGATTTAGATTTAGTTTTTTGTTAGCCCATTTTATTGGTGGTATGGATTTTCTGCTGTATCACATCAAGAAAAACACCTTTCAGCCGAAATTTAGCTCAGTGGTTCCTGTGCCTGCCTTGCCAGAGCAAGTTCAGGAGTTCGATTCCTGCTACCAAAAACAACAACAACAACAACAACAACAGAACTCATTGTTGTTCAGTTTTTAACAATGTTAAGATTGAACAGTGGGTACAGTTGATGCCAGTCTGATTAATCCATTATAAAGTTCCCTCTCTAACTTGCACTTAATTGCTTTTAGCTGTCATTAATTCTTGTTGACCAGCTTCTTTAATTTTAGGATCACAGAATGGTAAATTTCAAATTTTACAGTTCCTCTTACTGTTACTAGCTGTGATTCTTTTAGAATGAAAAGCTTCATAAAATACTTGGTTATCTTGAAATTAGGTCCCTACAGGAGAATCAGAATGAGGGTCGATTCTATCTCTTTATCAGATTTCAGAAGTCCATATTGGTCTCTTGCAACCTGCAGAGGTCTGACCAGTAGATTTTGGGTTTTGTGCTGAAACTGCAAGTACACGCCATGTGCCTAGCTTTGACTTTTGTATTTTTAAAGTGTTAAAATTCTTTGCAGTTATTGTGATGTTCAAATTATCTTTCTTTCATCAACTGAAGCCTTTTAAATTGACTTAATGCTCTTCTGATATGACTCATAGTATTCTTTTGTAGTTTCTTTGCTTTCAGGATTTGAGAGATAAGATTGATTGTATTTTATGCCCCAGGACTGGAATCAACTTTTTAAAAATGGGAATTGGTAGATAGGGACCACCATTTGAAAGCTTGGGATATTTGTGTTACCATTCCCGGCTTATTTAAGTATTCTTTATGGCCTAAGATACAGTCTGTACTGTTGAGAAAAATGTGTTTTCTGTTATTGAATGAAACACTATAGATATTAAGTTCATTTGTTTAATGGTGTGGTTTAACTTTGATTTTTTTTTTTTTTGTTATTGTTGTTTATTTTTTGTCTGGTTGCCCTGAATAATTCTGAGAGAGGTGTTAAAAGTCCCCTTCTGTGATTGTATTGGTGTCTATTTATCCTTTTTAAGTCTAGCACTTTTATGAAGTTCAGTGCACTGACACTCAGTGCAGTAAATACTTAGAATTGTTAGCCCTTCATGTTGAATTGTTTCTTTACCAGTGTGTAGTGGCCACCTTTATCTCTTCTGATTGGTTTTGGCTTGAAGTCTGTCTGAAAATAAGTTTGTGGAGGTTTTAGCACATAGTTGGCTGGCTCCAAGGCAGTGTGGCATGGCCGAGGAGTATCACAGAGCAGTCAGGAGCCAGCAACATATAAGCATCAAAACAGCTGAAGCAGCAGCAGCAACCAAGCCTTCCTTTATATTTCAGGCCACTGTCCTTTGGGTGGTGCACCTTAATCCCAGCATGATACACCGTAGATCCAGCCACCTCCGAAAAGCCCCACCTATAACCCCGTGAGACTTTAGGAGGACATCTAGATATAAGCCATAACAGGTGTTTTGTGTTCATTGCTTATAGTTCCTCTACTTCATTGTTGGTGAGATCGTTTGTAGAGGTAGAGGTTTTGGGATCATCTTGGTGTCTTGCTTTCTCATGTTTCTATTGTTTTGTGCTATGGGTTGAAGATCAGGTAGGCTCAGGAAACTTGTTATCCCTTTGGAGATTTCTATAGTTAGATTCGACCTCCTTGTGATATGTTCTTAGGCTTGTTTATATTTTGATAATTTATACTCCTCTTCAACCTATTCAGCATAATATTTGAAGTTTTTCTTACTTATTTTTACTTTCTTCTGGGAGCTTGATCACAATACCAGTGAAAGGGGAGAAAACGAACTGAACCGTGGTAATGTTGATGGCACAGATACAATCCAGATATTTTCATACAATAAAAACCAACTAAAAGCAACAACTATTCTATCATTAACAATAGAAAAGAGATTAGCAGTAGAGTCAAAGACAAACTAGTTATTGAGATATGATAAGAACCAATAATGGTATAGCTACAACTATACCAGCCTTAACAGTAGAAAAGAGATTGGCAGTAATAGTGTAGATACAAAGAGAAACCAAATACAGTACTAACATACAGTAAATATCTACTGAAGGCAATAACTCTAGTGCCTTTAATGATAGAAAAGAGTTCAGCAATAATAGCATAGTCAACTAAATAGCTAAAAAGTAATAAATATTAATAGTGATAATAAAAGAGGAGGGGGTGGGGAAAGAGGAAAGAAGTAAAATTTGAAAAAGAATAGCAAGATGATATAAAAATCCTGTTAACAAAAAAAAAGATAATAGAAATAGGTAAAAGAGAAAGAAAAAAAAAAGGAGAAAAGAGTAAGTGCAAAGAGCAAAAGATAGGAAAAAAAAACAACAAAAAACTCCACTCCAAAAAAAAAGCCAAACCAAAAAGAATTGAGTCCAGAAAGTTCTTCCTGGTGTTTGAGTGGTTTCTGTGCAGGTCTTGTGGTATTAGTATCTACAGTGGGGGGATAGTGAGTCACAGCTAGGGCTTACTTTGTTTCCACACTCATTTTTTGCTGTATAAATGCTGAGTCCTTCCTTGCTTTTCCCCCTGGGTATGGTCAGTCGGTGTCCTATTTACTTTAGGACTCTATTCACTCCAGCAGTTCTTTGTATTTGTGTCCTGCTGTGCACCTGAAATCACTGCTGTCTTTCCCTGCCTTTTTGCCACGTGGGCTCAAGAGGTGCCTCATTTGTTCCAGGGGCCTCTGTGTCTGTACACCCCAGGGTGTGGCAACTATAAGGTGAGACATATTCCTATTCACACTGACAGATGGGAAGCAAATAGACTACTGAGCTCTGTGTTGGAAACAGGCAGTGAGAGGGGCCAAGCCGTCCGATGGACTTAATGTCTGTAATGTCTTTCAGACTCAGCCCTATAATCACCTATGACCAGCCTGGCTTCTAACCCCTGTAGCAGAGTGACCCCAGAGACCTGAAGTGTAGTTGTTCTGTGACTTCTGATCCCCATAGTATTCCAGTCTTACACAGTAAAGCCCTTCCCCAAGTGTCTCCTGATTATCACTTCCAAGTATGGTGGACACTACAGTGAATTTTTTCTCCAGCTCCACCTTACCATGCAGAGGAAGTCACTTTCAGAATAAAACTGCACACTGTATTTGTAGCTGACAGTAACTGTGGCCTTTTCTTGGGGCTGGTGCTGTCCGTCTGTTTCTTTCTGGAGCTGCCAGCTCTCTCTGGGCTTACCTTGTACTTGGAGAGACAGATTCCTTCCTGGGTGTCTGGGGTGAGTGTTCCAAACTCCTTCATTCTTCTCTCCGTGTTGTCATTGGTTTCTCTGTGATATTTAGTCCTGTTGGCTTTTTCTTGATTTCCAGAGCTTCTTTCTCTCTTCTGTTGTTTTCTAGATGTCTTGATTTCTGGTCTTACAGAGGCTATATTTTACTGCTGGTATTGATTTTGGCATTTTTAGCGCTCAGAATTCTAAGAATGTTATAGAGAATTGTGATATACCCATCACCTAGATTTTACATTTAATTAACATTTCAGTGTACCTTGTATATGTATTTTTTACTTGTGTTATGTATATAAATACTACCTATATATGTTTTTTTGGGGGGAATACAATATTTTAACATCTGTCTGTTAATTCTAATGTTTTAAGTTCTTACGTATCTGTTTCAGTTGTCTATTATCTGCTAGTTGTCATTCATACTGTGTTGCCTTCCCATGTATCTGGTTGTCTTGACTGTCAGTCAGAAATTGTTTGGGTAATCATTGTAGAAATATTTTCTACATTTCTAGAATGTTATCTTCTTCCATGGAGCATGGTCTTTTACTTTTGTCAAGTGTCTAGAGATGTCAACAATTGGAGATCACTCTAATTATGTTTAGAGATTGAGATTTTTCTTAGTGATTCTAGATGAGTTGAAACAGGTGTACAGACCAGGCAAGGTTTATTATAAATCTCGTTTTTACTTATGATTTGCCAGGACTCCTTCCTTTGATGGATCCTGGACTTCTGTCCTTCTAGGCTGTGGACAGCGCCTTCTCAGCTTCTCACATAGCTTTGCTAACATGCTCACAACAAATGTACCCTCTCACCAGATGGACCCACATCTCTTTTTTTTGTGGTACCAGAGATAGAATTCGGGCTCTCGTGCTTGTAGGGCAGGTGCTGGAACCACTGAGCTAAAACCCCATCCCAGGACCCACTTCTTGAGATATTTTTTTCTTCTACTAGATCCTGGCTTGGTTATTCTTTTTATTAAT